TGCATCCCAAAGTTCTAATTTTCTATATTCTTCTTTTAGTCTGCCTCCATGTCTTCAAGTATTCCTGTTAGACACTGTTGGCTCCTCCTTACTGCACACCTTCAGATAGCTTCCTCTTAAGTACCCAATATTGTTTATCCCATCCACTAAGGCAACTCAGATTTGCTTTTAAAGACTGCCACAACAGTTTCTCCAAGACCGCATAAGCATGCTTATATTCACCCAAGGAACAAAACCCCAATCTCAATGGAAACAAGTTCCCTGGGAACAGATGCACAGCTATGAAACAACTGATCAGGTTTCCATTTCAGTCTCTGCAGTATCAGTCCTTGCAGCAGTTTTAGCACCCGATGGAGTCTCTTCATCTAGGTTCTGAATATCAGACAAATCAATAGCAGGCAGTGGTGCTCTCCAGTACAGGAATGAGTTATATTGACAGAATTCCTCTTCTTGCTTTGAAAAGAGACAAATAAACAAAAAGTTAACAAAACATTAATGTCTATACCAGCAGCAGAAAATAATAAAAAGAAACTTTTTATATGAGAAACTGAAACTAGGAAGAGTTACTCAGCTATTATGTATTGACAACTACTTTATGATTCTTAACTAGATCATGATTTACTTCTGCCTTTTCTAATATTCTTGCCAAGAATTATGTAACAGCTTCCATGTTCCATACATTTCTTCTGCTTACGACTTTTGCACAGAAAAAAAGGTGTAAAACTTGTGCAATTACTGGACTTTGCATACAAAAATGGCTCACTGCTTTTTCCTCTTGTAATAGTATTCAATTTTCATGCACATTTAGAAACTGGTATTCAAAAGAATGCATTTAGCTACTTAACAGCAACTCAGAGGGATGATACATGCAGGATAAAGAAAGCATTTTAAACAACATTCTATTTCCTCTTTTCTGTATCCCAATTTTGTATTCAAGAGAGGAAAGCTTAAGAATCACAGAATATTATGAGCTGGAAGGGACCCTTAAGGATCAGCAAGTGCAGCTCTTAAATTAATACCTCATATGGGGAGCAAACCCACAACCTTGGCATTATGAGCACGATGTTCCAACCTATCTAACTAGATAATATCTCAAAAAACCTTGGAGAAACAAACATATTCTCATCTACTAATTTAATACGGCATCACAATTTTAATTGTTTTTTAAATGTCTATGAGAAAGTGCACTGCCTGTTTATAAACATGTCACAGTTATCAACAATGGCTAAGCTGTACATGTTCTTATGGACATGATACATCTAGGCAGAGGAATGAATTAAGCCATTCCTTAGGTCATGAGCATGTATTTTCTTCTGGTATATAAAAACAGTGTATGCTGACACAAATATAAAAAAAATGCATTTTCATATTATATTGCGTTTGCATTTTTTCTAACATACAATTAGAATTTTTTAATATTTTACTTTACTGTCTCAGCTGTAATAGAAACTGAACAGCAGTATTTTTAACAAATAAACTGGTGTAATTGTTTTGGTATTCCTGAGATACCAAACTGCAGCCTGTGGGGGGTCAAAGCACAATTGCAATCCACACTGTGACTAAGCCAACTTCAGGGGGCCTCTACAGTATGGCTCTTGAAAATATTAATTACTTGTCTGTTGGTTTTGCAACAGAATTAAAAAAAAAGTAGTGAGTATCATCCCTACACCTTCTCAAATACTGAAAAATTATGCTTTCCCCACTCTTCCCAGAAGAGAGAAGTACATAAAATCACCATACTTCTCATTTAGAGAATACATTTTTCTATTTGTTACCACACAGACCTCTCCTGAACTACAATCTGTTGTACCAAGCAACATCTTCCTGCTACAAAGCCCCTGCATGATTTAAAACCTGTAATAATAAAGAGAGGATGAAAGGTGCAGACATTTCATAGCAGTAAGATGGCTCCTTGCCTACAGAGTGCTACTAATGTGAATTTCCTCATTGGGAAAGTCTGTCTTCAGAAAACATTAAAGAACAAAAGTTCCCATTAATTGAGACCAAAACCAATTAAATGACACGGTGACACAGGAACAAAAGGACTGATTATACTGAAACTGGAAGAAAGCCAAACTAAAAGTAGTTGCCCATTCTTGTAAACTGGAAGTTTTGTTCTGCACAGCATTAACAACAATTGACAAGTGTGGAAAGGATGACTTTCCAATCTGTACTGCAGCATAGGCAGTATCACTCACACAGAACTGTGCGGGGCCGGTGGCTAACAAATTATTTTAAAAAATCTCAGGCGGTGCAGTTTCAGAAACTGTCAACTAATTTTACAAATTCTTCCCTGCATTATTTGAATTCCCCTGACATTTTATTAATTTTTTTTTTTTAACTGAGAGCTAAGTACTTAAAATCAGAACCCTGATGCTTTGTATGCATAAAGTGAATGACAGCACCCTCGTTTCAAAATTATTAGAGTCTAAGAGCTCATAAACACATACTCAGACTAAGACTACATGCATAATTACTCTCAAAAGCTTTCATGTTTACAGGTCAGCAACATTGCAGTGTGAAAATGAAAAAAAAAAGTACAAAAGACAGGCACAAATGCTAAACATTCATACCTAGAAGGTAAAATAAAACACCAAATATTCACCTTCAACTAAGTAAGTTTCTACAGAGATTTTGAGTAGAAGTTCTATAAAGGTGGCAACAACGTAGGCAAGCTCAGAGATACAAAAGCCCAGTTTCTATAGACTAAGTTGCATAATATTTAAGGAGTTAGTTTTCCAACTCTAGTTGCAAAAGTGTATTTTGAATTAAAATAATCTTTCTTCTCTGGCCAACTGCAATATGATGCTTTAAACTTTCACAAAAATACTGTGAAATTAACAGTATCCTGATCATACTTATTAATGTAATGAAATACACAAGCCATAAACACCAAAGAATAATACCAACCTAGACACTGTATTTTCAGAAAGGTTTAAGAATCATCATCAGAAATAGCATTATAAAGTATTTAAAATATACAGGTAGGACACACAAAAACCAGAAAAAATATCTCTAGCCTCAAGTGTTAATCAAGCTTTATTTTAAAACTAAAACATTTTTTACACAATACTGTGCTGACGAGAAACAACCTGTTAAAAATACACACCTAGAAAAATATTTTACATAGAGAACTAATCTTTACTGTGTGGAAATTCAAGGGGCATGTGGCCTTCTGATCACTGCTAAAGCTTACAAAATTATGCCAAGCAGCACCAAGAGCAAGTATACCTGTGATGGGAGTCAGACTGTTCTGCAGAGGTTTGTTCAATTTGTTTAATTACTACATTCGTGAATATATGTGTTCCGTCTTCAAAACTAAAAGAAATGCTTGTGTTTAAAATGGCTGTATAATACTCATATGACACAGAATTCTTTCTGGATTTCTCCCTGCCTTAATTTTACCATCATCAATAAAACCCACTAACAAATCAATCAACCAAGAAAACACAAAAAGGCAGATCATGAAAAATAAAAGCTACTGTTTTCTTTACAGATCGTATGTGGGTATTATGCTCTGAGAGGCCTCAAATTATCGAAATTAGAGTCTACAACTGCCAATCAAAGCCCTGATCAGGGCTAACCTGATCAGACTTTCTGCCACTTATATCACTGAGTCTAACAGTTTGGTCTTTCAAGATCCAGGTGAGAGAAAAAGTTAGTTTAATATGTACCAAACTTCTATGTTTGAAATGTGTGAAATCTGATTACAATCTGCTTTGGTTGTGCACAGTTTTTGGGGTTTTTTTAATTACAATTGTCTTCGTATGTACCAAATTTTGTTTTCTGAACTACAGAAAACAAACTACAGATTGCTTTTTACTACTGTGTAAAAAGCAATCAAGGGCAGGAAGAAAAACGTATATTATTCAAAGTTAACCAGAAAAGTCGTTTCAATATACTCTAATCATTACGACACTGATGCCCTCCCTCAGACCACCGCCTCCGCTAAATGTTTTGGTTAAAAGACAGCTCTGGCATTGCTATTAAATGTCAAAACAAGAAGTTAAGGAAGCTGACGCTGTAGTGAGCCTCACCCTCACCCAACAGAGGCGACACCACAATAATCTCTGCAAGCTTCCACCGCACTGCTTGATAAAGCTGAGCATAACCTCAGGTGAGGTGGACAGGCTGTTTTATGACACGGAGCGGGGAGGGAATCGGCAATGCTGGATGATACTTCTCTTGCCTCGAGGAAGACAAAAGTATAAGGAGCTTTAAGATGCCCGCGACCAGGAGGCGCAGATGAGCCGGGGCGGCACTGAGCGTTCCCGGCGAAAGCCCGCCAGCACCCCCGGCGGACACCCGCGTCCTGCAGACACGCTTCAGCCGCTACCGGCACCGCCCCCCGCTTCCCTCCCCGCCGACCGAGCGACGCGGGCCCGTCCCGCACAGCTACCTCGGAGGCGGCGGCGGCCCGCTCTTTGCCCCGGCCGCCCGCGCGTCCCTCCGCCGCCGGCGCGTCCTGGGGCGCCATAGTCCCGCCGCGCCGCCGCCGCCCGCCGCCCGCGTCCCCCGGCTGCGCACGGGGGGCGCCGGGCCCGAGCCGCTTTCCCGGCGGCGCCTCCGCTTCCTCCAGCGGGCGCTTGAGCGCGGCCGGGCCGGCGCCGCCCGGCTCTGCCTGGGGCCGCCGCTCGCCCGCGCGGGGCAGCGCCGGCTCGCGCAGCAGCCGCTTAACGGGCACGTGGCACATCAGCGGCTCCGCGCGCCGCTTGGCCATGAGGGGCCGCGCGCCGGCGGCTCCGCGGGGCTCCTGTGCCTCGCCCGCGCATGCGCGCCACGCTCGGCGCCGCCGCGAGGGGCGGGGCTGCCTGCCGCACGGCCTGACGGGAGGAGCGGGCGGGAAGCGCCCTCAGAGCCAAACCCTCACCCCGCCGGGAAGGGAGGAGCGGGCAGCGCCCCGGGAGCGCCCGCACAGCCGAACCCCCACCCCGCCGGGAAGGGAGGAGCGGAGAGCGACCTCACGCGGCAGTGAAGGACGGAACCAAACACGCGAGACATCAAGCCTTACAGCAAGCTTTAATATCCAAAAAAACCCAGTCCATTACACACACTTTAAACAATGAGAAGTGCACACAGAGACATGAAACTTCCCATTCTTACCATCTTTGCAACAATTTTAGAATATAACACATTAAAAAAAATACAGGACGTTTTACATTTATCAAACTCCATATACAGAAGTTTTACACTGAAGATTATAAAGCATTTTTACACTTGTTACCATGTATAGTTAAATAGTGACCTAAAATAAAGTCTTAGCTGACGAACAACTTGAGCATTTCCCCCGCATATAAAACTAAATAAAACAATGATCAAATTCTATAATAGGCAATTATCCTGGTGCATTACAGTACAAGTGGCGAATTCTAAGAACTCTTAAATGGGACTGAAGACAAAACACTACCAACAGCTTATTCACAATATTATTTTGCTTCCAACTCTTAATGTGACTGTTGCAATTTAAAAGCAGAATGCTCTTGAAAAATCCCCTGCATTTTCTAGATCAGAAATAAAAGCATATCACTGTATTATACCATATGCAAAAATATTTTCGGAGAACATACAAAAATGGCACCTGTGACAACATGGAGTGGTATGGAAAAAAACCACCAGAACACAGGATATTAACACTCAACCATAAATTAAGAGTTCCACTGCTTTTCTTTGAAAAACAGAACAGCACATTTCAAGTTACAGAGTGTATGGGGCAAAAACTGGGTATTATTACAGACAGGTATGCTACTCAGCATCAGCTTAACTGACATTCAGCTAACCTCTGTCCTATTTCAAGAAGCTTGAAAATCAAGTAAATTACTAATCATATTCTACCTAAGAGAAGAAAGCATAATGAAAGCAAAGAATCACAAATTTTCTCAAAAATTAAATGGTACAATGTGGAAATTAAAGCATGTGGTTTTTTACTTTTAGCCACACAAGGACTTTTATTTTCTAACTATTTGTTGAATAGCAGTGTTTAATCTTTAAACACATCTCCCTTGGAACAGAGTAGAACTTCGACAGTTCATGCACTTTTAGAAATAAGAGAGTTCAAAGAAGAGTAGTTTAAGCCAAACTTAAAAGCTTCTGTAGAGCAGAAGCCTCAGAAGCCTCTGTTCTCAATCAGGATTCTGAGCAGAAAGGAGCATAATACTGAAACATACACAAGCATGCACTCTCCTATGCAGCGTTGAAAATATTTTTTAAAAAAAGGTTTGTTTTCCCTCCTTGCAGATTTTCAATTTAGGAGTAAAGGCACAAATTTCTGGCCTTGATTAGAAAAATTGAAAAGCCAGTAACAGATCTATTAAAGAGATATGATTAGGACATCACCATGAAAGACAGGACAAAAAATAATCAGAAACAAACAACATACTGACCAGTGTCCTTCTAGCCAAAGAAGAAAAAAAAATTCAGCCCTCATCATAATGGTTTTATATTTTAAACGTATTTTTGAAAATGCATCCAAATGGCACTTAAGGTAATCAATATATTATGCACACAGAATGCCTAACATGACACCTCATCTCAGACTAGTGACTGCTAATTAGGGTTTTTCTCATTTCTTACATAACTTCAAAGTGACATGAGATTGTATGTGACATGACAGCCTCTTGTATCATGACTTGTAGATTAAATATTCACCTAAGCCACATTTGTTAGGGAAAAAAAACCACATTAGTAGGAGGAACCAAGAAGTCACAAGGGTAAAGTGAAGTTACAAAGAAATTGTCTACCATTTGGCCTGCCATATCCTGGCTCAGGTGGAAGTAATTATGTTATAGCACATATTTACATGTAACTTCACTGCTCCGACAGGTATTTTTTATGTTGTACTACCTACATGTGGCATGGATAACTCAGCTATGTTTATCAATATTAAAAGTTCTGTCTTAAATAGTAGAAGATGACTCAAAAATCAGTGTTATTTCAAGAAGGCAAAGCATCTAACACATTTCAGTTCCAACATTAAGATCAATCAAGACCAGTGTTTTCCTGAACTGAGGTTAACATACTGCTTCTCTGATGGTCTGCTTTTTCTTCACTCAGTATTCTGCTTTCACGTAGCATTTCTAATTTCCTATCAGTTCTGGTTTTTGATTAAACCTTTAACAGTGGTATAGCCAAAGATCAGAAGTTGTAGAATATCCTCCTTTACTTCAGTTGCACAGGAAATGCTCTAACAGTTCTGATGACTAATTTATTTGTTCAATAATAATTTTAGCACTTCCCAACCATTTCATACTTCATAATTTAAGTATACATTTACAAACACTTCTCTAAAAGTGATACAGCTAGTACAGTAAGCACCTCCATGCATTCCTAATATCATCAAGTAAGAAAAAAAAGCACTATAAATCTATGAAAAATGAGGCAGCATTTGCAGAGAATTATCCTAGTTATGGCAAACATTAAATTTTTTTCTCAAGAAAACACTTTTGCTTTTTTATTTAATGCATTCCAAAGCACAAAGACAGTGCATGTGAACCTTGAATCTTTCACAAGTGTATTATGAATATCCATGGCGCAGTAAATGTCTGAATAGCAATAGAGATATTAAGAAAATAGACACTATCTATATCCTCTTAGGAACAAGAAGGCACCACTGATTTGAGGTTGTGTCCATACATCACCAGACGATTTTATTCTCATTTCTAGCTTTCAAACCAACATTATTTTCTCATTAACCTATTCAAACCACTACTATTCTGGTTTTCTCACCACAAACAACACACACTCATAGTAGTATTTCATCATGGAGAGTTCATTCACAGTGTAAGTTGACAGTACAGATTCTTTCTCCACCTGAAAAGAAAGCAGCAGTTTTCAAGACAGCAGCAGTTTTCAAGACAGCTTCTGCACAGGAACTATACAAGAAAATGCTATATTGTTATTTGATTATGAGGTTTATCTATGCACTTCTTATAAAATGAGGAAAGCAGGTAATTTGTAAGATACATAATACTCCTAGAAGTCATTAATATATGCCATTATATTGAATGAAATTCATGGTGGTTTAATCAAAGCAGTTTGTCTGATTCATAACAATACTGCTTACTGCAAACTACACTATCTTCTTACCTCTATATGGAATCCATATTGCAGGATAACATTTTTTATATCCTCGTAGCTTAATTCTATGGAAAGTTCATTTCCCAAGTTCTCAAAATGGTAAAGGAGAGGACCTGAAGTACAAAGATACAACAGAAATGGCTACCAAAAAGACGAAATATGTGTTAGAAGTCAAAAGTACACACTGATAGTGCAACAAACACTTATATCAGATTCATATACTCAAAAATATGGAAGGTTCCCGGCCCAGGAAGGGTTGGAACTAGATCATATTTAAGATCCCCTCCAAGCCAAACCATTCTATCATTCTATAAATACTGATAAAAGAACATATTGCTGTTACTTGAATATGATTCTTATAATGAATACTAATTACTTTAGCTCTTATTCAACAATTTGCTACATTTCCTAACAGCTTTGGTTTTCTGTATCTTGAAATTTCTTCAGTCAAGCATCACTGCTGTCTCCATAGCTGAGAATATTTAAGTCTGCCTAGAAGCTCTGCTAGCACTCTGACTGGCTGGGACTGAGAGAGCAACCAATTGACCAATTTTTACTGTGCATAATGTTTAATGCCTGTGTCTTGTGAAACATTCTTTCACCATGGAAGACTCCAATCACATCGCATTCCCAAAACTTCTGCTTCAAGGCAGAGTACCAATTAGACATTGGAAAAAAACCCAGAAAAGCAAGGTTGTATTTTAAAGTTAAATTTTCTTAGAAAAATAGCAAAGATCACCACAGAATACGACATTTGTCAAAAAACAAACACTTGATGAATGAATGTAAAACATGCCACTGGCAAGATTTATTTGCCTATTTAAAAATCACAGCGTTGACTTGATCGTAACTAGCAAACATCAGACTTGTATATTTTGATAACTTCTGACATAATTTCCAAGCCCTGTATTTTTCTAGCTATACAGTTTGCTGCATAGACACAATTATTTGCACACACTTCTCAAGTATACAATCAAAAATAAGTCAAAAAGAGCAGCTGGTCACACTTGCCTACATTTATCCATATTCCTCCAGGCTTTAGTATTTTCCATATAGTATCAATATAATCAATAACATTATGTGCTGTATCTATGAAAAAGCAAGTTGCTACGCAGTCCCACGTATCTGCACAAAAAGAGCAAAGTATACAGAGATAAGTTTCAATGCTTTTAATCCTGTAAAAGTTCATCATTTAACCCCGGTATTTGTTGATACTCTCAGAATCACTATCAACTAAAACCAGCTGAAGGATCTTAATTTTGTATGCAAGTTGATAAGTATTTTGGTTTACATTAAAAACTGTTAACTTTGGGTTTATTTGGCCTGTATTCACATGTGTATATGTACACATACACAGACTACAATATTACATATACTTACTACTCATTCACTTAATGAAACTGTTCATACATTATATATATATTGTATTCTGTAAAATTATACACAAATGAAGTCCCAAGTGTGCTATTGCTCACCTGTCCTATAAATTTAATTATGACAACTGTTAAAAATACAACTGCAGAAATCCCTAATCATTTCAGGTCTCCCTCGTTAGTATCTAGAACAATACAAGTCTGCACTAAAGTGTACTTTCAGAAGTTACTTAGCTTTAAAACATTTTACTCAGTATTTGAACATCTCCCCAGCTGTTTTTAACTAGTCAATTCAACAGGCAGGATTTCTGAAGTCTACCTTTTAAAGCATGAGTCTCCCTGCTTTTCTCTGAACAGGTATTCTTGAAATAGCAAAAGTTTTAAGTTCTATGAATAAAAAGTATTAGAAGTCTTAATTTATGCCAGTCTTTGATGCTCTACTGTTAAAGATAGAATCTTCGGAAAATTAAGCAGCTGTGGGGAAGGTTCCTGCAAGATCTGTTAGACAAGGATGTGTCCACATTTGCTATAACTAGGAATGAGAGCTGATTCGGAGTAAGAAATAGACCTATTGATACAGCTGGAGAAATATTCTGAGTATGAGAATCTTGCTACAGCTAGTTCTTTATACTTAATATTGGTAGATACACTTTGATTCTCTTCATAATCTGTCCCAAATACTCTGGAAGTCTGTACAGTTACATGGATAGCCTAGAAGTTTGAATTTACTCACTGCACTCAGAATAAATTTCCTGAAAATCCCCTGCTGTCATAGAGAAGTTTGAACCAGAAGGAAGACTGTGAGGATCAACATCTGGGAAATAAATTGGTCGTATCTGATCAGCAGATCTTCTGTTATTGCTAAATTGATGAATCCAGGGATAAAGCTTACATGAATTAATTTGAGAGCATCTGCAAAATATGAAAACCAGCAAAATTTGTTTCAACTAATTGTTTATCTAGAATCTAGAAATATAAGAGTCAAAGTTCTTGTAACAGCTCCATATTTGCCAGAAAATTTAATCTAGTTCACAACACTTTAGATGCCCATGAAAATGAAGTGATCAAAAAAACTAATTTTAATCCGACAAAATCACTACTACAAAGGAATTGCCTTTTCCAGTTTTAGAATTTTCTTTTATGACTTCTTGTCATTTTCTCCAACTTATTTCTCTGCTGAGAACAAAACACATATGCTTATTTTGTAAGATTAATGAAGTTTGCAATTTGCTATATTCCGTAAAGCTGAGACTTTCTGGATCATCTCTCTTCCTATTAAAAAAAAAAAAAAAAAAAACCAACCAAAAAACCAAAACCAGCAAACAAACAAACAAAAAGTAAAAATACTTCCATTATTTTTTTTGGAAATGTTTGTTATCATTCTGGACTTTTCTGAACCATAATTATAGGAAGTTTTGAAGCACTGCTAAACAAAAGCATTTTTCAGATGCTGACTGAAAAGATGTTTTAAGAATTAAAAATATAAATAAGCAGCATTTTGCATTAGCACAATAATGGTCATTTTAAGTTTGTTGTCATTTTAAGTTTGTAACACCCGGATCTTTGCAATCATGCTAACTAAAGATGTCTTCATAAAACAGAGTTTCTGGATTGACATGACTAACGATTCATATTTTAAAAAGTTATAAAACACAGCATTTAAGTTTAACAAGAAGCTTTTCCCACCATCCTGTAAATTAGTTTGTAACTAGAAAATGAAAAAAAATCCATTTTCTTTCAAGGACAACAGAGGACATATCTGTCTCACAAAATACATATAACCAAGCATTTCATAAACTGCAAGCAATCTACTGGGTTATAGAAAGTGCACTCTTTTGGCTGCTGATTAGAATATATTTGTGATAAAGTGTTTGAAATAGTATTTTTTACCTTCTCCATTTCATATCTCTGTTTCATTTTATCAGTTAAAAAACTAAAACTTGAGCAGCAGTATATCGTGTTCATCAACTTTCTTCATGTATAAATAAATACCAGACATATGTAATTGGTTAAAAAAATCAAACCCAAAATGAAACAACAAAAAAGCCCCCTAACCACTACAATAGCAACTAAAAGAAAAGATTAGAAAGGAGTTTATTGTTCACAGAGACTTTGAAACAGTTCCAATTTAATAGAAAATAGCAATCTCTTTCATATACAAGTTTGAAAACTTCCATTTCCAGTTTCAACAATTTTTACTTCAAAACCAAGTATTCCAGTCCTTGGCAACTCCATTCTTACAATAAAAGATGTGTAATACACATTCTATTATAAGCAACATATTTAAGTTTGATACACTTCATTAATTTCCATAGGGGTGGCGTATTCACTGTTCAACATTCAGCTTAAAAGACAGTTTTTTGAAAAAATGGGTAGGTCAAATCTCACTACTCACCACTGGTATACACATAAAAATGTAACTTAACTGTTTTCATCCTAAAGCATTAATGGACAAGCAACAAACACAACTAGCAGTCTCCTCCAAGTGTCAAGATTTATCCAAAATTATATTCTTTCCATAAAGTAAAGAAGAAAAACACACCATGTAAGAACCTTAGGCACACAAGGGAAAGCAAGATGTCCCATACAATGACTGAAGCAGCCTTGGAACCACTGCAGGTTAGTCTAGGGTCATTTTATTCTCAAATTAGAGTTTCCTCAACAGAATTAACAAACTCTAAATAATTTCAGATATTTACAGTGACCACAGTTACACTGTGACACACACTCTGCATACCATACCCTGCAGCTTTATCCACTGTAACAAAAGTTCACTATTTCAGAGATATGAAAGGTTTTTTCAAAATGTGTAAAAATCAGCAAATATCACTTTGCACCCAGAAGCATTAAGCCAATGTACCACATCTAGGAGCCTACTGTAGCAATGCTTGACATTCAAAACAGTACTTTGTCTTCCTAAATATAAAGCACTGTCAGAGAAAGAAGGTAAAGCTGTAAAACTGTAAGCACAGACGAACAAAATCCTCATGCTTTATAAACTAAAAATAAGTATAAATTAAATCGAGACTACAGTTAAAAACTCACTGGCAAATTCTTTTTTTTTTCTGACCACTCTTCTTTAGGTATTATCTTCAGCTTATATGGATCACTGCTGTTTCTTTCAGAATAGCAAATGTGCATTTCAGAAGGCTAACTGTGAACAACTACTTCAGACTAAATTGAAAGAATCTTCAAGTCCCTAAAACCCTTATAACAGAAGGTTACATCAAGCCCACAATTACATCTGGCAGAAAGGGATGCTTGGACTTCAACTAAATTGACTGCTACTCAGTCATGCTAGCAGTATTCTCTTTCATGATAACAATATAACTGATAAGATAAAGACTACAGCAGTTGCACAACACTCAATTTTCCTGTCCAAAATCTCATATTGTTAGCAAGTTTAATGCATATACACCTCTTTGCTAAATATCCTGCATAAACACTACATTCCTACATAGGAAACACTATATGAGCATTAGATGCTAAAATTACTACTGTTAGTGAAGCATGATTCTTTAGGATAATTTCACATATAGGCAAAGACTCTTTATTCAAGGAAGCATGTCATCAGAGGGTAGGGGTGAAGTCAACTAACCTCTGCTACAGCTGACCAGTGCTCCAAAAGATGGGAAATTAAAGCTTTTATGCTGCTTTGAAATTTCAAAGCATGAGAGGAATAACAGTTTTCTTTTAGTAGCTAAAAGGCATCAGAAACATCAATTGTAATATACAATTACACCACCAAATGAGTCACTTGAGAATAATGCAAGAAAAAAAGAACAAATGAACCTCCAGTAAACATCTATTATCATCACACAAAGCACTACTGCTATACTGCAGATACTCAGCAGACACCAAGCAGTGTTTTCCCCTTGTTTTTGAATAGTAAGCTGTGTGAGATGCAAGAGCATCATAGTGCACCATGGATAATCAGTCTATAAAACAGTCTCCAAAACAATGGTAATATGGTAAAAAATATGGTAATACAGAAAAAAAGCCAATAGTTTAGGTATTTTCAGCAAAGGTGTATAATTTCAGACTCATGAATGAAATGTCAAATTCTGCCTTTGTGAACTTGGACTAACTGCCCCCCTCCTCCCCCCCACCCAAAACACCCTCCAGACCTCTTTCAATACTTGCCCACCTGTAGCTTTCCCACTCTATTTCTTAAGAGAACAGTTGCATGTGCTACCTTTTTTTCTTCCCTAATGAAGTCATTTAGAAAACAGTAACTCCAATGCAAGGGGCAGAATACCAAATACAGAAATGTCATTTTAAGTAAAACCTGTAACAAGAAATTTACTACATTTAAATTTATTATCTGAGCATAACAGTGGAACTATTAACTCTTAACATCTTGCTCAGCATGCTTCAATTATTCTTTTTCTTGTCAAAACAGTGCCTAAAATTTTAGTACGGAAGGTGATGCTTTTTTTTTTAAACAGGTATCACCACCACTGCATAACACCACCACTACATAACATGGACGTATTTACTAGCCCATATTCAGTAATAGTAAGATAGGTGTCCATTTCACAGAAACAGATGTGAAATAAATCATAAAACGTAATCAAAATTTTGCAGAAAATCTGTTGTACAATTTAGATTTTAAATCTCACAACTTGAAAGCTATGCTTCCTGTAATGTTAATGACTCAGATACAATACTTCCTTCCCCATTTATCCCTAAGACTTTTTTCCTTAAAGCATTCTAAAAATTGAGTATGTGTGCCTTGTAGTACAACTTGTAAATCTATTATTTTGAGACATATATATTCAGATTTCTCTCATTTATAATTTTGCCTCTCTAGGTTTTATTCAGCAAGTAAAACATAAGCTATATACCTGTTGAGTACAAAGTTAGAAGAAAAGAGCATAAAGAGGCTCCATTCATTTCCTTGGCAAGCATAACCGAGCATAGCTATTTCCCACGCCAATCTACCTAGCCCAGCACCAGGTACCAGGATATTAACTTTGGAGAAATCCCTGCAACAGAACAAAAATAATAGTTAAGTCTTTATCTGATACCCTTTAACACAACTTAAAGGTCCAGCCAAACATTTTCCCCACCATATACTTATATAATGTATTATGCTTCCTATATGACTCACTTTTAAATGAAACTGAGCCTGCTCTGATCAGATTGGTTAATTGTACAGTCAAAATAATTTACAGAAATTACTCAAAAGAACATATACAACCCTCATTCAGAATAGACCATAAATGCTATACACAATTTGTTTTCCTTAAAAGTTCTACAGTTACCCAGCCAAAAATTTCTCAAGTGAACTGAAGAATATCATCATATAGCACAATGTATCTTTCTTTAAGCCCCACTGATAATCAGAAAGCATTCTAGACATATTTTTGTTACCTTGTAATAAAAAAAAAAAAACAAAATCCCAAGTATTTTGACATAAGAAATAAAAACATAAAATCTGATGAACAATTCAGAATGTAAAAACCTTAAAGTAGTGACTGTTCCAGCAATGGTGAGTTCTTCATATGCTACTCACTGGTTTCCCCAAAGTACTGTAAGTGACATATTTCCTAAATCAAAGTACATTGCAGCTCTCTAACCATTTACCCATAACTAGGCATCAAGTTGAAGACAACCAGAAAACATCCAGCAGTGTTTTCATTAAAATACTTAAAATCTCTCCTAAGTGGAGCAACTAACAAACAGAACTAAGAATCTCAAAAAGGAGTTGCTTCTCTTGGAGGCAGAGAAGGAAATACATACATATTCTGTCACACCTCCACCACAAGGCAATCAAACCTTCACTCATAAAACAGAAACCACTCGCATGCGAAACTGAAGATACTTAATCTCAAAGGAAATAGTTTTTCAGTCTCCAGTCATAAACACGAGTTCAAGAGTTCACATTTTCATACACTGAGGTATGAATATTCATATACCTTCTGACACTGTTTTGCATATAACCTCCAGAGACAAAAAATAACATCTACCAATGTATAAGCAAGTACATGAAGGAGGCCAGAACCAGCAGTTCCAAAGGATAAAAGGCACCAAAACATAAAGCCTTTGACTACTTAAAAAATTCAGAATGCCAAGAAGGGTTCAATGAGTAAGGATGCCACACAAGTATGAAGATGATTAAAGGAGTTACATAAATCCTAAAAGCTCTACATTTCTGAACACTATTACCCAAAACCAGAAGTATTATTCTTTTCTAAAGGCCACACAATCTAACAACGCAGTTTTAACAGTGCCTTCTGAGTTTTGATTTCATCATCTAATTAGTGAAGTCTCTGAAATGGAAAATCATCCCATTCATTTCCATTCCATTATACATCCAGGTTCTTTTTCTGACTTATCAAGAAGCTGGAAATCAAGACTTTGTTATTACTTAAGAGCACTCCTGAGAGGCAAGGGTTCTCATTACCTCTCTTCTACAGGGGAAACCAGAAGCTAGCACAAAGTCCTACTGAAAAAAAATACTTCAGGAGAAAACTACATGCTCAATATGAAATTTTTGAAAATAGGAAGAGGGAAGGAAAAAGATGAAGAAGGAAGGAAGAAGGAAAAAGAAAATGTGCGTTCTGGTAGAAGCCAAAAAAAGCATCTATCTTACAGCTTTTCTTATTCATAATGGTACACCCTTATTCCAAACGGATTTTCTAACCTAATCTATTTCTCCATTTCCTTACAATTTCACTTCATTTATGAAATACTTAGACTAGCTCTACACAGATTTTAGCACCCCCATGTGGACACTTCTGTGATAAATGGGATGATAAGCCATAAACTACTTTCAAGATTACAAAACATTGATTAGAAGTCTTTTCTTAAAGCAACAATTTTCAACTTAATACTTCCCTAAAAAATGCTTCAAAAATACACAGATAAAGAAATAAAATTTCAATATTCACATTTTGAAATCTGCACCTTTATGTGATTTCAAAATGTGATTCTGAAACAAGAAAAAATCTCTATCAGTCAAGTGAGTTGATTTTAAATTGCCTGTAGTTGTCTTTATCTTTTCATTCACAATATAAAGTTTTTGTACTTTTAAACAGATGTTCCAAATTCTCTCTTAGAAAATAGTTTTCTATTCTCTTTTTCTAGTGTAGACTTAACTGCACTTTCATATGCACCTTTATTAAGGGATTAAACTCTGGAAATTTGTTAGCAATATAATTTCTATCAGTTACTGGAGAATGCTCCTGCCACCAACTTCATTTCAGCAACAGAGCACATCTAATAATAAAAGACAATATAAGTAAATCTCAGTCCACTAGCATTGACACTTTCCGAGAGCATACTTCTCAATTTAGAGACTGAGAAATTATGTATGTGGCAAACTTACTGTTGATAGTGTCCTCTTATTAGAAAAAATTTGTCTAACACTTTTTTCAAGACTTGAACTGTTTGTGACAAACTGTTAATGAATAACACATTTAATTTTGAGCCCTTATAATAGCTAAAAATCTTTAACTGCATAGAAACTGCTTTTTAATGGCTATAGTCCTTTAAGAGGCTAGAAAAGAGGCTTTTGTCTAGTTGTTATGTGATTACAGCAGTTACAAATTTAACTAAAAAAACCCCAACAACTGTGGTAACATAATAACCCAAAGTGATCCATAAGCAAAACTACCTTCCAACCAGCCAGCAAGGACAGGATTTCCATGCCACACATCTAGCAATGCTTAGGAACATAAATGAGCATACTACAAGTACGCACTGAATACCTGTGGGCCAACAGGGAAGGAGCATCAGCCTATTAATCTGACAGGTGTGGGGAAAGGTGCTGGCCAGGCAGCAGAGAGGGCTGCACAGTACTATGCACCTCAACTACTGAAACTGCAGAAGCCTCTTTAAAAAAATAATGGAGAAATACCAGAAACAAATCTTTCATGTCCTTTTCACACTGCATGTTTCAGTGTGATATATTTTCAGCTTTTAGAAGACTATTGATATTAATTAAGATTTTAACTTTTTTAAAGGTGCTCTTTTTAAAAGGGGGAAATTAAACATTATAAAAATGGAGGCTTATTTAATGTCTATTGTGTTGTAAAAAAAAAAAAAAGTAATGGTGCTGAAGGGGTAAACGTGCTTAGCAAAAAAAAAAGAGTGTCTGAACAAACACAATCCTCATACATGCATAGGAACATACTGTGGGACTCCTTTCCTAGTGTTTATGAGGTCTATAAATTTAAATAAACAGATCCAATTCTCAGTATTCCATATTTTGTTATTTTGCTTCAACCATATTGTCGGTGATTTTGTTTTTAAAGACAAGTGCTAAACACCACGATCATTTGAAGAGTAATTCTCTGAACTTGGCAGCTGAGTTTTATAAACTTTCATTTCAAGACCTGCAAAGCACTGAGCGATGCAGTAACACTGACAATCTATTTGCTCTTAAATCCAATGTGTAAAGCAAAGTTTAGGCTAAGTACAAGGACCTGCAAGGACAAATGTATTTCATATAAAGTCAAATAAAATTCAAATAAAGCAGAAATTTCAACTCCACCATAAATGTTACTGAGCACACTCGAGAAGTATAGTCAAGCTCAGGCTCAGGACTAATAAGTTGTTTTTCAAAGTAAAAACTAAGCTCTGACAATTTTTTTGGGCTGCTCTGTCAGCATCTTGGAAAATACATTTGATAGCTGGACAGCATGACACAGATGAATTTTAAGTTATAGTTCATTCTAGAGGTCTAGTTTATGAGAAAACTGGAAAAAATACCTAAGTACTTTGGTATTGGCCATGGAATGATAATTAGCAAAAAAGCTAATTATTTCATACATTTCTTTGGACAAGAAGCTGATGATCTTTACATTGTTTCACCTAAGCAGGAAGAGCAACACCAGAAGTGAAAGGAAACCAAGATGATAAAAAAAAAAGGGAAACAAAAAAAATTTACGAGTATGCTTATTTAGATTTTCAACTTAATACTTCCCTAAAAAATGCTTCAAAAATACACAGATAAAGAAATAAAAATGTATTTATGTTTTACTATTTTCTCCTAAAGCAAGTACGTTCATTCTAATCCAAGAAACTTAAATAGTACAGAGCTCCTGCAAGCTGAAACATATATTCCAACATGAAGAATGCAAGAAATCTATCAGCTGTTCAGGAAGACCTGATCTCATGGGATATACTTAAAACTGCTTTGTTGACTCTGCTTACAGATTCTGTGTTAAGGTGCTAAGCAGAAAGAGGCAGGAACAGCTTTTGCCATTTAATTTACCTTTAGATGACAGCCAAATCAGAAGACTAGACTGAAACACATGGTAACACATGGTAAGTAGCACCTACTAAATAACTATCCTGCTTTACAGCTGCTTTCAACCATTGCTTGCGCTACTTCTACCTCCCAAAGAGCAAGCATATACAACACTTCCCTGCTTTTCCTGCTATTTACATACCAACTGAACCCATACACATCAACTTTGCAAACTGCAAAGCTACAAGGTGTGCAAGCACGGAGTGAAACACACTTCAGTAGTTTCAAAAATTTAAACTCCATTTTCACATTATTCCAATGCATGGAATTAATAACATCAACAAATTACGTTAACTAGAAACTGAATGTACCATTCCATTGAGTATTACAAATTTGATGAGAACTGCAATTCCTTTTATAAAGTAAAAAGTGACCAGCACTGACAGTTTAAAATTATTTATCATTTTCAACACCAAGTACATTTATAAAAAAGTTTTTTTTGCACCAGTACAGTTTTTCTCTTGCACTTTCATTTCGTTCTTTCAGGAGACTTTAGTGCTCTGTGCTACAACAGGAAACTCTAAAGCAATACAAAGCTGCATTCTGAGGTTCATTTACAGGCTGCTTTCTTTCACACATTAGAGTCTATGGTCAGTCCTCTCCCACTATACACAACAGAGTAACTCACTGTGGTCAGTTCAGGCCCCATCAATCTCTTCAAAATTAAAAAACTTGTCCACTCCTAGATCACTGAATCACAGACTATGCCAAGCTAGAAAAGATCTGTCAGGGTAAGAGAGTCAAGCTCCTGGCCCTATGCAGGACACTCCAAGAATCATACCATGTACCTAAAAATATTGTCCAACACTTCCAGAACTCAGACAGGATTGGTGCTGTGACCACCTCCCTGAAGAGCCTGTTCCAGTGATAAACCACCCTCTGGGTGAAGAATTTTTTCCTGATATTTAACCTAAACCTCCCCTGACTCAGCTGCATGCCATTCCCTCAGGTGCTGTCACTGGAGAGTGAAGAGTTTGTATAAAAAACCAGACTTACCAGCTAGCTACCCTGCCAGGGAAGTTATTTCTTGCACAAGGATGAAATGGAACTGCCAGTTAAGCTTGATAGTATATGACTCTGCTTGTTACCTCAAAAAGGAAAGTGCACCTAACCAGGAGAGCCTTCCGTCACCAGGAAAAATGAGTGAGCTAACATAGTATCTAACAATATGTGAACTGAGAAAGGGTTTTACCAAAGTGCTACAACAGCCCCACAATGATAACTTAAGTAATACACATTTTAGAAATTGAAAAATGCTGTTTGTCTGACAAACTCAAACTTGTAGTAGAGATCTTTGATCTGTACAGTGATGTATTGCGATTTCAGCAGAGACAAAATAAAACTCAAATGGTACTTCAGAGCTACCACAATAGGGAGCAACGCTCTGCCACATTAGTTTTGTCCAACAACCACGAGAATTCCCTGTAAAGAAGCACAAAGCTGTCAACTTCAGATTCACCCCATCTGTTACCACATGTTGCTTCCTAATATCAGTGAAGGTTTTGAAATAGAATTCATTGATGACAAACATAAAAGTCAAGATTTTCCAGCCTCAGTCTCTTAAGAAGAATCTCTTAAGATTTGACATAAGCTACCTCTGCCACAACCAAAATACATTAACAGCTAGCAGACAAGAGAAAAAGTTGCATTGCTAATTTGGAGATTAGAATGACCTCTTGGAAAACTAATCATGAGTTTTCCTACACATCTACACGTCAGAAGTATATCTGCAGTATTTAATTCATTTTTTTATCTTATGTAAGGCACCATTAGCACTAGAAAAATTGCAGAATATTCACTTGCAGATGAAACATTCTAAAAGGTGTATGTATCTTTAGGTAAATCAGTTCAAGGCAAAATAGAAACCATCTATATTCCACGTTCTCCCACCACAAACTGTCTTTACCAATGAAACTAAATGATGGCTAGTGGAAGAGACTTTTTTAAATTCACACAAGAGCATTATTAATAATTGCTGAGAGAGAAAAAACACAATAATGACCTGTTATATCAAACTTCCGTAGTGGCCTGTTACACTTACGAATAAAAATTCTCAAATTTTCCCACTGTAAAAGACTACTAAGTTTAAACTAAAATGCACTTTAAGATGACTGGGTTGATAAATGGACAGAACCAACAAACATGGAATTCTTACAGCACTATAACCTTTTGAGGCTTTACTAGTATGCTTCCACTTAAATGACCTAAAACCCCTGCATCAATCACTATTTTGGCACTGTTAACAAGCCAATACTTACAAAATGATCCTCAAATGTGCAACTAAGCTTTAAGAATTGTCTTAGAACAGCTGTCCGAAACTAAGGTTAGAATTTACTCTTTTCAGAGTAAATTACTGCAATTAAGTGCAAGTGCACTAGAGGTTAAGTCTTCCTCCCTCTTTTCACAATGAAGAGCAGAAGTCTTACTTCCTGCTGTCAGAGTCCTTCCTTGCATTTGCAGCAGACACACTCTGAGAATCTGCTAACCTGCAAACCTTCCCTCATTAAGCACAACTGAGCTAACCTACTGAGTCTCTTACTTGAAAGATTAACATATATTGTCACACCCAGCTGCAGAACAACAACAAAAAATTATTACTGGTTTACCTGGTATTACTTTGTGAAGCTTATGATTATACTCTTTTCCAACATCTTGTATTAGAAATAAAAAACTTTCTTGATTGAAAAATAAAGAAAGTTCATTTTTGAGTTCATAAAAAATTCTCTACTTTTGAAACAGCTTTTCATTACTCCATAAACTGTTTTAGATTTGTGCAACAGTGTAAGTCCACATAAATATAAGCTTTAAGACACTATTACCATCTTTCTTTTGGAAAGTTCTTTATAATTTCACTAATAATTGGCTGGTAGCAAGAATCCCGCTCCGACTTTCCCTCTTCACTCCAGTCTCTCACAAATTGCTTCAATGTAGACTTTAATTTATCCATGTCAAATGTTGAAGCTGGTGTAATCTTCCCACTTCCCTGAATAAAGTGGAGAGAAAAAAAAAGTTAGTGGAAAATATACCAAATATCTTGAGTCTTGCAGAGGGGAAAGCAAATTATGAAGAAGGCCATGCTGCAAGAACTGCTCTAAGTATCAGCTGACAAAGCACTTCCCTGTCACTCCTGAGACCTGGGCTTAAATCCACCTTAATATCTGGCCTCTCTTTGGCATTCAAAAGTCCAGTTTCCATACCAAACAATACACAGCAAAGTACAATTGGTAGTCCCTATTCAGGAAAGGATCAGGGCTTAGCTAGTGCAGAAGCTGAACTGCATACCCTGAAAAAAGGATCCCTTTAGATACTGTAAGGCAAAACTGAGAAGCTTACATTAGAGCTGCCCATTACTGTATCTTGCCTGTATCAAAGGAGGACTTCAGTTTCCATCTCTGTCAGTCCCTTAAGTCTTGGGGTAATTTTTTTTTGATAGAAAGTAGGTGAAGTAGTAAAAAAGTGTATACAAATAACAACATTAAAATACTTACAATCTAGAATTGCAACCAATTTATAATGATGTATTATCTGAAGATATAAGACATATAAGAAGCTATATGAAGACAGACAATATTACTTATATTCTATATAGTTAACAGAAAAAATAACTTTAAAATGTAACCAGGGTAAAGCTAGAACTCTGGAGTAAAAACAATGATTTGCCAGATTCACAGTTTTCATAAGTGTAACTAACAGAACTAACAACAAACAGCTTAATTAAGCATCAGCTTTGCAAAATGTGAAAGACAAAGAGTGAGAAAAGTATGAGCAAACAAGAATCAATGAAAAAGGAAGGCAAAAGAAATTTGTAGGTCTGAGGTATTAGTAACAAATGTAGAAAATCCCAAAGCATATAAGCAATCCCAAAGCAACTAATTTTGGAGCAAGAAAAAAGTCCATTTTAACATACATCTTCTCCATATTCCTTATTTTCAAACATATGAACACAGTCATTCACAATGGTTTGTAGTATTTCTTGATTATGATCAATGCACTTCCGGATCTTGTCAAGGTGAGGGAGAAATTGAGGAAGAAGACTCTGTTGGTTAGCTGGGAGAGACTTAAACTGCCTCTCTGTTCTGTTCACTCGTTCATGCATATTCGTTCTAAAAAGCAAAAGTTTTAAATATTTAGAAGCAATATACAGACACATAAACACTTCACTCTAAACTACTCCAATTACAATTATTCTTTTTTTTTATACACAGAAAGTGAAAGTTTTCTAGAATTTTTTATTGTTTTTAGCTCTAGTTCTACCTTACCACTCTATTTAACACATTCCAGTTTCAGAGGACTATCCTCTCCTCCTTACTCTTTCATCCTCAGCCACTCATTTCCAGAGCAGGTGATCACCTTAACACATGGATCTATAAAATTTAACAACCAACCATCTTCCAAGTGTGTTTCACAAATCCAATTTAAATTGAATGAATTTGAATGCAGTGGTAAGCTTCGGTTACAGAAATAACAAGATGTGGAGTGAGAACTGGGATCCTCAAAATCCATTGCTTCCAGAACTGTGAAAGTCTCAGCTGGACGATACCAGAGTTCTGGCAGCCACACTAAGATACTAAGCTACCTTCTTTTAACAGCATATTCCTCCTAAGTACTGTGAACATGATCATGTGACTGATGCAAGCTAAAAATAATTTTCCACTTCCCCAGGATAAAAGTTTGATAAAAATGGTGACTTTTCTGAGATTCTGCTAGATTTGATTTCTGTCTAGACAGAAGTATAGTAGCAAAGCACAGTCAGGGTGACTCTGGCGAGATAATTCAATAAGAGATACTGACCCTTTTGACCACCAAGTGATTTTAGCCAGTCAAGTCATACTGAAGTTTCCTAAATCTTGTGTCAGCATACAGCAGCACAAAGCTGAAAAACCTAGCCATTATGAGAGACAGCTGCAATTGCTGGTGTTTTAGTTACAACCTCATTCTGGAAATTTGACCAGATAATATCTCATTCACGTGTTACTGAGAAGGGCTTGTTCAGTGCAATAGCTACACTGGTTTAAAATTACATTCAAGGACCAGAAACAGAAAAAAAAGAGAGAAAAAATAAACTGATTCTCTACATAAAGCACATCAACTTAGCTCAAAAACATCTTATTCTCCACCCTTTTATGCTAAATTACAACCATCTAGCAGAACAAGTAAGTGAAATCACAAAAACTACAAACAATGAAGTTATCTCATTTTATGTCTAGAAGACAAGAACAAGATCTGGGTTCATCTGAAAGTGTGTTACTGTCTTATTCAAACAGATGTTTCCAACTTAACTGGAAATATCTGTATGAGGAAAGAAAAAATCCATTTATTAAGTACCAAGATATGCCATTTCACGTAAATTTAGAATTATTTCTTTCAGACAGAGATAATTTCATTGAAATTCTATACTGGAAATCTGAATCACATCTTTTTTTTTTATGTTTTTACTGAAACTAGCATTCAAAAGCAACCCAATGCCACAGCTCAGAAGAAGGCTGAGAAGGATATTCCCAGCTTCTAAGGCCTGAGGGTACAATTATACCACTAATATAAATAAATTATAGGTCGGAATTGCACTAGTAGCAATCGCTATTAGATACTTTTAACTAACTAGGTCTTCAATATGTCCAAACGGAATTAGAGAATTCACTTTGGAAGAGACATCAAAGCGTCACTCAGACTAACCTCCTGCTCAAACACTTGTCCTGAAAGACAATGAAACTTATATGGACAAACCTCAAACAGAAGAAATTATGTAAGTATCACCCACTCCTACCAAGAATCTCACTACCATGTACATATTATGCCTGTGCTACACTGCCAAAAGAGGGTCCAGCACATCGCAATGAGCCGCATGATGTGGCTTCCTTAGCTGAAGTACAAACCTGCTTCCTAAACCCAGAAACAGGAAACGGTTTACCAAAACACTCTTCCTGGCTGGACTTTTCCAGCCAGGCTCCACTACCTTGCAAGGCGAGTAACTTGCTTCCTTGTCTACAAAAATGGATTCAGTTCTAAAACTAGGTGTCCCCACCACCGCTGGCTCATTTCTGTGGAGCCAGCAAATTCTGACTCAACAGATGTTATTAAAAACGACATCCATAATCCCTAACAATAGGCCTTATCTCTTCTGCAATGTAAAATGTCTTTCAAGAAGTCCCACCCATAACGAAACACCATTCTGCGTTTCTTTGCCAGCAGGAAATAATATTGTTTTCTAGGCTGTACAGCGTCTCAGAGCATTTTATCTCCTAAGAGAGCTCAAGACACTCTTCTCAGTGTGTCTTTTATGTCTTCAGCTTTCTTTTACGCTTTCTAACCGACAGGTATCAAGGCCACTGTGCGCGTATCTTGAAAGGAAGCGGTGCAGAAGCTCTTTGCCGACGCGGGCCCGGCAGAGCGCAGCGCACGGAGCGCAGATCGGCAGCCGGCCGCACCAGGAGCGCCGCGCTCCGGGGGCAGCTGCGAGCCCTGCGGCGGCCGCCCGGCGAGCGGAGGGACCCGGCAGGGCCCCACGCCCAGAGGGCAGGCCTCAATTACCCGTAATAGCGGAAAGCGTTGATGATCCTCCGAAAATGTTCCCGCTCCAGACGTTCCTCCTCCTCCACCGCCCTGGCCGATGCCGTCGGCAGCGCCCTCGGCTCTAGAGGCGGCCGCCTCCGCCGCTCGTCGCTCAGCGGTGCCGCCCGCTCCGCCTCGGCCTCCGCGCCCATGCCGCTCGCACTCTCTCCCGACCACGGCAGCTGCTCCCGCTCCTCCTCGCGGCCTCGCCGGAGTCCCCTGCGCATCACCTTGGCGGGCGGCTCCCTCTCGCCCTGGGGACGCGGCCTTGGCAGCGGCGCTTTCCGGGACACGGCGCACGTGGCCGACATCCCCCGCGCCTCCTGCGCCCGCGGGCACGCCCGGCGCGCACGCGCACCGCCGCCCTTCCGGCCCCGCGCAAGAGCGTATCGCGAGAGGGGGGAGCGGCCGGGGCGGGCATGCGCATCCAGCAGTCGGGGCTCCCGCGCCGGTGTCACGGAGATCGGGAGCCGCTGCCAGGCAGGGCGTCCCCTGGCATCACAAGGGACGCTGTCTGTGGCGCGGTGCCCGGCCCCGCTGTGGGAAGCGGCACGGCGGGTTCGGCCGCGGGCGGCAGTGGCGCTGAGATACGTCGGGCGTACCGGGAGGATGCACAGCTCCTCGGGGCTACCCGGGCACAGAAGTACCGGCTCAGCACTCAAACGCCGCCCCTCCGCCCGGTTGCCGCTCCAGGCTGGGGTCAGGTGTACATCGGGCCCCGCTGGCAGCAGCGGGGCAGCGAGCTCACCGTGCTGACAAGAGGCACTACTTCCCACTCTGCACCAGGCTGAAGATGGATGATGGTTCCTGGGAGGATGAGCAAGGACCAGCTGTGGGGAGGGAAAAGCAAAGTATCTAACCATGCATGAGTCACTAAGTACTAGATTTCCCCACACAACAGACTTTGGCCTGGATGATGGGCACATCTTCCTCCACCTGACAAAACTTGTTTGACCAGGTGCAGACACCATGTCATGCAGCAAGTCACACCATACACCTTTGCACCGTGCTTTGAGAAGAGGTGGCTGATACAAGACTGCCTCATTTGTAGGGACACATCCCCTCAGTCTTAAAGCCTAAAGAGCACTACCATACCTTCTGTCTGTCTAAAGATGGGGCAGTCATTTAATAATCCAAGTAAAGCAGCAGGAATAGGAAAGGGTTTTGGCACACTAACTTTCTCTCTGTGGAAGCAGGAGCATCAGCTTCCTAAAATAAATACTTTCACTTTACTCTCACACTGCTCCTGCTCTCTTGATAAAACAGTAACTGACCAGGCAGTGAATGGACACTGGACACTGTGTTCAGTTGCAATGCCAGAAAGAAACCAAAGACATACCCAGCTTGATGGACAGAAGAGTCATTGTTCCCAAGTGGGTATGTAAATTAGGAAACACCTTGTGTGTGACGAAACCAACAGCTGAACAGTTTTGACGTGTGTAGTAATGGAGTGAGGAACTGGATGAGGATTGAAGCGGCTAGTTTGCCTCCTAGCTTGTTTGGGATGGATCAGAGGATGGCATAGGCAAGTAGAAAGTATCATTTGGGTTTGATGTGGGGAGGAGTAACTAGAGGGTTGGCTGGTGTAAAGTTTTCTGGGTCTCCTAGGAGGCTGGGGGAGAATAGGGACAGGGAGACAAGTAGGGAAAGTATTAGTGCAAATCCTAGATTATCTTTTATAGTATAGTATGGATGGAAGGGGATTTTGTCGCAGTCTGAGGGGATGCCTAGCGAGTTGTTTGATCCTGTTTCGTGGAGGAAGTTGAGGTGGATGAGTGTGAGGCCTACGATGACAAATGGGAAGAGGAAGTGAAGGGCAAAGAATCGAGTCAGTGTGGGGTCATCAACAGAGCATCTACCTCAGGCTCATTTGACTAATGTTTGTCCAATGTAGGGGATACATAGTCCAAAACAGAAATTCAGCTTTTAGACTTTCAAGGTTAGAGTAGGAATCATAAGCTCTGAGAGGTAAAAAGTCTGTTCCTACATCAGTGTTAATGAGTTGTCATATTCTGTTATTTTAACATCAGAAAATCACCTTCTAAATATCAAACTAATAATATACTTGTATTTCTGTCCTTAAATAAAATCAATTAGCCTTTTATTGAACACCACTATCTCTATCGCTCCACATTTCTGAATACATGCCAGACACTGAGCAAAACTTTCTCTCACTTGTGACAGCCTGAACTTGGTGCCAGCAGATGATACCACTTCCAGAAAGTTATCTATTCTTCAATAAAGGACCACAGGCTTCTGTCATGCAGCTCTCCCCAACCACTTCACTGCTACCACAGCCCTGACAATGCAAAAGCATTCACCAAGAGCAAACTTGAATATATTTTTTTTCTGTCAAAGGCTGTACCACCTTCAAACCAAAAGCATTCTGCCAACATGCCAGGTAAGCTTTTATAATAGCACCTGAAATACTTTATCTACCAAACTAACTCTGAAGAGTTAATTATCTTTTGCGGCTGAGTTGCTGCAGCAAGTGGCAAGAGCACACAATTTAGGCACACCAGGTGAGCCCGGTTGGTTTCTACATCCATGCTATAGCACTGCTTGCTTCTTTTACTACTTCTTATGGGTGAAATGTCAATGAATTTTCTGTATCTCCTTTGAACTTGCTGGTATTGTCTACCACCACTACATTACATCTCAGAAGGTCAGTGTCTGCAGCATAAAGTATAATCTCTACCTGTGTGAAATATTACCTTAATATAAATTGGTCAATCTGTTTCAAATGAGTATTTGTAAAATTTGGTGAATACTAGCTCTGCATCCACATGACTCACAGATTTCAAGATGTTGTAAGCCATGGTCCATTTTCCCCTTGGTCTTCTCCACAGTGAGTGGTCCCACAATTTTCAGTCTCTCCTTGCAAAGCAGCTTCTCCATTCCCTTGAAATTTAGCTGCCCTTCTTTTAAGTCCACTATGGACTCCCTCCAAATGTAGAAACCAAAACTGCCCATCTCTGAAAACATGGGTCCACTGGTCTTACACAGGAGCCAAGCAAGACCACCTGTTTTGTTTGCAAAAATAAAAAAAAAATTAAAACACCCAATTTGATACAGCTCCAAACTGTGGCATGATTATAGAAGAACTGTGAAAGATCTGTGCCCTTATCCGAGCTCTTATTACAAGTTGCTGAAATACAAGTTCAGTAACATGTATATTCCAATAATGATTTACAGCACAAATGCATAGATCTGTATTGGAGCTCATCTATCATTTTTCCCTAGGAGGATCTGACAAAACTGAGCTTCTTTCCTTAGCACTAATGTTGGGAATAAAGTCAGGTGATACCATTGCTCATTCCATTCCCTCTTCTGAATCACCAGGCAGAGCAGTTGGAAGTGGAAGACTGTCCCTGTGTGAGGGACCCCATTCTCAAGCAGCGGAAGTCTGTGAAGAGAAAGGAGCAGCACAATCCCCATCCACTTGTGCTGCTGGGAGACAGGAGGTAGAGGATTTCTGCAGGAAGTCAAACCCAGGAAGAAGGGAGAAGTGGGGGGAAAGTGTTTTATGATTTGTTCTTAATTCTCATTATTTCTGATTTTATTGGCAGTAAATTCAAATAATTTCCCAAAACCACGTCTGTTTTGACTGCATGAGAGTAACTGCTGAGTGATCTTCCTGTCTTATCTTGATGCAAGATAAGCCAAGATGCAAATCCATTTCATTATTTCCCCTCTCCTGTTGAGGAGGGGCAAATAATAGAGCGGTTTTGGTGGCTAGCCAAGGTCAGCCCACCACAACCACTCCATGCATTAGCTAATCTCTTGCAATTGTACCCTTTCCAAAGGGAAATAAAAACAAAAATACAGTTTAAAGTCAGACAGTCCATCACAGCATATGAGCAAATGCAAGATGAAGAACTTTTAGTGCAAAATAATAATACAAAATTATATTCGGAAGCACTTTGTTTTAAACACAGCTAAACACAGCTGTAATCTGATAACATCTTTTTCTTTTACATAGATTTAGGACTTTTACTATAAAGTACTACATTTCAATCACTGACCAGTTCAGCTGTCACATATCAAGTAATAAAATCCATCCTTTTGTTTCCATGTGTGTAGTTTTATCTTTATTTTGTCTCATAAAAATGTAACCAATTGTCTAGAAAACATAAGAGTTAAGACATTACTTATTCAGCCACAAACTATGATCCAGTTTCCTAGTTTGCGTAAATATATATATACACAAATTCTATAACAAAGCTTTCACATATGTCTGGCACTCTTGCTCTCTGAACATTCCATTCACAACATTTCAATTTCATTTCACTTTCAATGTGAGTTACAAATATTAATAACAATTATTTCTTCCTTCTTTCTCCCTGAAGCATGGATTTATTATTTAGTTATCTGTGCCATCCTAGTCAATCTCTGCACAATATATGTACTATATCTTGTTAATGATGCATCTCCATTCTCTACATCTTATTTTCCCACCTTTTTCCAACAATCTGATTCCTCTTCAGGTTTGTTTTCATTTTCTTAACATCTATTCCCAACTGCTCTAAAGAATACACAACACAAAAATTACAGTGCAAACACCAGAGAGGTATTTAGCAAGTCTAAATAATCTTAGCTGTGAAGTATTCAGTTACTGAATAAGCAGCATAACAACTTACATAAACTTACATATCTTACACAGCTAGTTTCTCTGAGCATGTTTATCAGTGATAATAAGCTCCTAAGAATATTAGAGGCAATCACTGTCATTCCTATATGATCATTTCAAATTGCAATCAAATCATCCATGTTCAGATATGCTTACTAATCCAACAGAAGTGCATCTTTATGGTTTAGTTCTATGCACAAAATCTTCGTGTTTTAAAACATACACATTGAATCAGATTTAAAGCTCAGCGAAAGCAGGATTGATTAAAGGAAATTTCAGGAACACAGTGTTCATACTCCTAAATGGAGTCTCTGTCTCCATACCCGAGAGAGAGTTAATAATTACTTAAAAAAATCTCTTGTGTTACATGAAGCAGCATTATGGCCATACACACAGCATTTGCTCAGTTGGTTGGCTTGCCATGTAAGACAGTCTTGGTGTTTTCAACTCATATCAAATGGAATCCAGGCTTTCTACATTGTCATGATGTGACCTGCTGATCTAAAATAAATACAAAGTACATATCTAATCTGCAGTGTTTGCAAACAACATCACTCTATATTAGTGATAATATAATTCCATTAACACATTTGTTTTCATTCATATTTTATCCCATATTCCTTCTCTTCCATGGTTTTTATTTTATCATTAAGTAATTCAACAATGATCTTAGACCATCCCATTTC